AACCAATCAGGATAAAAAAATTTTCCATCTAAGCACTTGCTTATTGGACCAGTGATTACTAAAATTTTCATTGTGAATATATTGACGATAGATGCAATAAATGTTCATACAAGTGTCGTAGAAAATTTGCATCTCCGTAATAATGCCAGATGAACCTAGATCTTCCTCTGGTTTTGAAAATGAGACATTTATCTGTGTCACATGAACTTGTATCTGTGTCACATGAACTTGTCTCTTCATCTGTGTTCATGTTTATAAAGCCTTGTTCTAATTCATTTTAGTTTCCAAAATTTGCTGAAATTGTGACTCTGACGTTGTCTGATGGGTCAAAACGTAGTGGGCAAGTATTAGAAGTCAGCGGATCCAAGGCTGTTGTTCAGGTTAGATGGAGGAAAGATATAATGTGTTTGTACAGTATTGTACAAATAATCATTTCATGTGTGCAAGATTGATTAGGCCAAAAAAAGAAATACCTGAGTTTCCTATTTTTCATTGCAAAAACTTAGGTAGGATAGGTTGGGTTTTGTAATGCTCATGCATGAAAGTGATACTCCATGTCAATTATGGCAATACAGGTGGTACAAACATATGTTAAATGTTATATCAACTTTGAAACAAACAGGTTGTACAGTACTTTATATATATAGTACAAAACTAATGCCACAAACTGGGTATGAACTTCAGATAAAAAGATTAGGTAGGGTGGGGAAGCCAGAAACCCAGGTATTTTTTTTCTTTGACCTTAACTTATTGAAATTGTTTTATGTAGGTGTTTGAAGGAACATCAGGGATAGATGCTAAACACACAACATGTGAATTTACTGGTGATATTTTAAGGACTCCTGTCTCAGAAGACATGTTAGGTAAGCATTAAGCATTAATGTACAGTAATGGGAGGGGTACTGTAATCTTCATAATGCTGAATTTTATCTTTTACTTGTTTCCACAGGAAGAGTGTTTAATGGATCAGGCAAAGCTATTGACAGAGGACCATCAGTGCTGGCTGAAGATTTTCTAGATATAATGGGTATACTTTAAATTGCACACTTCAGTAGAACTATGTTGAAAATGAGTTTTGAGAATATCATATTTTTCATGCAATTTAGGTCAGCCTATCAATCCATGGTCTAGGATTTACCCAGAAGAAATGATTCAAACAGGAATATCTGCCATTGACACAATGAACAGGTTTGGAATTTAAATGTTAGCTCTTGCCCTACTGTACCAATCCTTTAAGAACTGATATAAATACACATGTATAAATAACCACAGTTTAGAGAAGCCATATACAGAGCTACATTTCCTATGAATCAGGAGAGTGGTGAATTAGGTTTTGGGTGGGAAAGTGTGAAGCATCTAAGGATGACACTTTCCTCTGCAGAGCTTTACAAATTAATAAGTCTTCCTTGGAGCAGCCAATTGTTGTTGCCAATTTAGTAGCCAATTCAGCTAGAGCAAGAGTGATCACATACCTAAAAAGAGCTGCCACCAACAGTTTTGCTATGATATTTATGCTTACATCCATAACAAATTTGTAAAAGTGTGTTACATTGTTTTTAGCATTGCTAGGGGTCAGAAGATTCCTATATTCTCAGCAGCCGGTTTACCACACAATGACGTAAGTGAGAAATACATCATACATGACTGTACAATCTGAACTAGCAACATTGATCTTCATCGATGCATTCAATGGCAGACACTAGCAGGAGGCACAGCCAAAAAGTTTGAGGAAATTTTGGAAACAAATGGGTCATATGTTGTCAAGATAAATAAGCACTCTGATACTTTGCAAAGTGTTACTGTGATCGAAACTTTGCAAAGTGTTCTTGTACATATTTTGGTTTCACCAGGTTAGATAATCATCTGGGTTTTATCATTTTGTAGATTGCAGCACAGATCTGTAGACAAGCTGGTTTGGTGAAGTTCAACAAGAGCACGAAGGATGATCATGAAGATAATTTTGCAACTGTTTTTGCTGCTATGGGGGTATGTTTTGAGCTGATTGTCACTTTTTGAGTACAAATTCCACATCATTACAATGTACAGTACCTACAAGAGCTGTAATGTTTGCCAAAATGTTTTAAATATTGTTGTATTCAGGTGAACATGGAAACTGCTAGATTCTTTAAACAAGATTTTGAAGAGAATGGTTCCATGGATAACGTTTGCTTGTTCTTGAATCTTGCAAATGACCCTACGTATGTAGTACTATGAATTCTATGCATGTAGTACTGTGTGGTATATTATTTGGGTGTACCTTTGGAGCACTGTCAAAAAACCCTGCTTCATTTGGCTCTCTATTGGCTCAATAGTTTATAGTTCTTATCTACATCCCAAGTTTATAAATAGAGTGATATTTGATACACAAGAAGGAGGTTGTTATAATAGTGTTTTGAGAAACCCTAAGTATGATACACTAACAACCTGCCAAATTTTGTAACATACCTCTATGTGTTAAAATCTCTGTAATAAACAACTTTGAGTATAAACATTAAAATATAACTTCTCAAAAGACTCAGAATTTAAAGAAAAATTCAAAATGAACTAAAAGTACAATGACAATTAATTTGATATGTTTGCAGAATTGAACGTATTATCACCCCACGTTTGGCGTTAACTACAGCTGAGTTCTTGGCTTATCAATGTGAGAAACACGTCTTGGTCATTCTCACTGATATGAGTTCATATGCTGAGGCTTTGCGTGAAGTAAGTTTCAGTATTGGTTAGACAGTTTAAAAGTTGCTTTCTAGATCCTGTAGGAAACTATAGGATCTCTGTAGATCTTGTTACAAGATCCTGTAGGGTTCCCTTTAGGATCTCGTACAAGATCCTGTAGGATACTGTAGGATCCTACTCAAGATTGACACCAGGACCTCCACAACAATTCTACAACTGTATTTTTTTTATCCAAGGTGTCAGCTGCACGAGAAGAAGTACCAGGTCGTCGTGGTTTCCCTGGTTATATGTACACTGATTTAGCCACAATTTATGAGGTATCAATAAGAGAACATCATATTCCTTCACTTACAATACCTGTCCATAGTCATGCTCGGAAAACTTCAAAACCTCAAAAACAATGAGTTACCATTTCATTTTGAGACGCCTTCATCTTGCACAAATATTTTGAAATTTTGCTTATTGGGCCCACTCTTGAGGGTGATGTCACATCACATATTTGTTAATTTTGCCATTTGGGTGGCAAATTAAAAGCAAGCGTATCGTCAAAGGAAGACACTGTGGCACTGACTGGGTTGTTTGAGCACTTTGAAGAGTTATAATGGTCCACAGCTGTGTACTGTAGTACATGAAAGATCGTAGAACTTCGAAGTTTCAAGCGAATTTCGTCCGGAATCACTAACTTCCTGACGAAAGGCCTTCGCTCGAAACGTCCTGGAAGTTCCCAGTATTTTTCAGGTAGTTGTATCCCTATCAATCCGAAGCTTTCAAAACAACCCGAGTACCATATCTTGATTGACTATGACCTCATTGTATTGAAACTCTTGACGATGTTTCTTGAGGATTCTTCCCAAACAAAATTCTTATTTCAGTTTGTTATCTTCTTTAGCGCGCAGGACGTGTCGAGGGACGTAATGGCTCAATCACACAGATACCTATTTTAACTATGCCTAACGATGGTATGTAACTCATGAAGTAAGATTAGCGCTAACCCTGGGTTAGAATTTAACCTACTGTTTTTGTGTGGGCACATCTTGTATTTCAAAGTACTGTATTAGAAAATCGAACATTATTGATGCAGATAATATTTTTGAAAAATATTTCCATGTTTCTAAACAAGCTGCTGGGAAGTTTACTTTGGAGATTTTCGTTAACCTACGTGTATGATTAAGGTAACCGGCTTTCCAACCACTGGCCCCACGAAGTTTATGTTGTATATATAGGTCGGTTTTATCAAGAGGGGCAGTCCTTGGTGGAAAATACATGAAATATCATTATGTGTGCCACCATACAAAACGCCCAGTGAAAAATCCACCTATCAGTTTGTTGATTAAGCAAATCCACCTGTTGCACATCGTTTATGCTTTCTTTAATTTCTTATTTTTTCAGACATCACTCATCCAATTCCTGATTTAACTGGTTACATCACTGAAGGTCAAATTTATGTTGATCGTCAATTACATAACAGACAGGTACTACAAAACCCTTCTACAATCAGTTCTATCGCGAGTGCCCAAAATCCTGATATTTATCCAGATACCACAAAAGCAACTTTTGCTAAGTATAATTCAACACAATAAGTACTGTATATACCATAGGCCAAATACTTAGAGTTTACAGCACATACATAAAACCCGCGCTATCTTTTGCATAATTGCTTACAATACAATACAATAATTTATTGAACTCTCCCCAACGGGGCTTTTCGGAGCCAATTAACATTTACAAAAAATTATAAGATATACTAACATGAAATTCTAACTAACTAATTACTGGTATGGATGTAAAAATTGTTAAGGGCCAAATGCTACTATGAATGATTTCCTAAAAGATACTTACGTAATTTATGTTTAAAAATGTTAATTGATGAACTACATTTAATGTTCTCTGGAAGTTCGTTCCATAAGGAGACAACAGCACGGTAATAGAATGTCCGTTGACCAGTTGCACTCCTGAAAAAGGGGATGTTTAAAGAACTTGAGTTCCTCTAGCAACGTCCACTGATGTCGACTCTCCTCACAAATTGTTGAGACAAAGATTCCGGTGTTATTCCGTTTAGACATTTGAATGCATACCCACGATATTAAAAAATCCACACAACAAATTTACGTGATTTAAATATGATGAATTCAAATGCTACAAGAATCCGTGTTGAAAAATAGATGCATGAAAAGCACAGGTGGACGTCACATGACTTGCGGGGCAGAAGCTTTTTATTGTCATTCCGATTCTTGTGGTATTTTGTCTTGAACATTGTGTTATGATTCTGGGAAAAAAGTATGAGTTTTGAGTAAATCATGAGTAAATGTCAAGAGGTGGGGTGTAAAATATTCGATTCGTTCGTGATTTTAGGTCTACCCTCCAATCAATGTATTACCGTCCTTGTCAAGATTGATGAAGTCCGCTATTGGTCCTGAGAGAACGAGACGTGATCATGCTGATGTCTCCAATCAACTGGTGAGTAATCATTGCTGTACATCGTATTTCCTTGCCAGCAACACCAGCTGCTTGCTTGCCTGGGAGAACGGCCTAAGGAGCTCAATAACGCCGACTTTGTTCCAATCTCGTACCCAGAGCCACTCAACGATGGTTTTTAGTACGAGATTGACCTTGTCCCATCATTCACAAATGCCTTTTTCATATTGTTTGATAAACCAACCGCATTTATCTTACTAAGGATACTAATGAAAAAGCATTAAGTTAAAGCAATATTTTTTGTTGGTATAACTGGTCTGCTGGGCTACGCTATTGTTAATCAATCTTCTCATTTTGTTCAGTACGCAAATTATGCTATCGGTAAAGATGTTCAAGCAATGAAAGCCGTGGTTGGTGAAGAGGCTTTAACAGCAGAGGATCTCCTTTATCTGGAGTTTCTCTCAAAGTTTGAAAAGAATTTTATAAGTCAAGGTAAGCGGATGTAGACCTCTTTGGGGGTGACTTTCCATATAAATGTCGCAAATGACATCAACGACAGGCACATCGGAAATATTTTTTTTTGGGGAGCGGAGGGCAAATTCAGATTGCCTTTTGTTGCTGGAAATCTCAGTTCTTTAAAAACTTTAAGTTGGGACACAGACCACCACACCTTGGTCTTGGCGAAATAATTACAACTTTTTTGCACGTTTTTCTTTCCTAGGAACATACGAGAATCGTTCAGTATTTGAATCATTGAATATCGGTTGGTCGTTACTCCGTATCTTCCCAAAAGAAATGTTAAAGAGAATTCCACAAGATGTTTTAGCGGAATATTATCCCAGGGATTCTGCAGCGACGAAGAAAGAAGGAGAGTGATAGTGGTTTGCTTCACTTTCTAGATTTATTTCCAATAAAAGGTAGGTCACATTTCTTATTTCCTTGATCATCAAGTATCTTCATGAATTCCCCTCACCACGCATACTCCTAATATCGACTGTTGTGTGACATTCCATATTAAAAGCAGGTTTTATCTTGGGATTCGGGTTCTGATTATGGTTGGGGAGGAGTGCGTACCTCCTGCAGCCCACAGTGTATTAATACATCCCTGAATAGTTTCAATTTAAAAATCTTTGTATTTACATTAGGGTTAATGTTAATGTAGAAATTGAATTACAACAAATTCCGTTATAATCTTAAATATTCCAAGTTTTTCTTTCAATGTCGTTAGGCTTTCTTGCCATTATCATACCGATTAGTCTGATTAAAATATGTATGCCATAGTTTGTCTGAGAACTGCATGACAAAGTAAGTAAAATCATTCACATTTACAATGGTCGAATCTTTAACGAAGACGCGTTTCTTTTGATACAAAGATAAAATAGCAGTGATATTTTTGTTTTAACTAGGCACGCGACAACTCTCTTGGTGTGGCTTTTTGACAAAAGATCTTACGACTTAGTAAAAACATGTGGTGTTCTGGCTTATTGCATAATACCATTCAATATGTAAAACGAACACAATAATATGGCAAATTAATGAATTCATTATCAATAAATCTAAATTAATTTTATCTTTAGGGGCAATTAGATTGTAACGGCTATTGATCAACTAATAACATACGCTATAGTAATAAAATTTATATGAAACCTACATTTCATAAACATTTTTGTTTCATATAAAAACGATTCATAAGAATGGCTATGACAATCTTGTTTTAAATCCAGATTAAATGAAAAGGGAAAGATAGGATAATTGTAGGAGGGGATGTGTGGGGGGGGGGATGTGTGCTGCTGAGCATCCATTCAGAGGGTGCTTAATAGATAGGATAATTGTAGGAGGGGAT